CTAGGTTGGACTTCCCCAGATACACGTGGGGATTTATGCACCAATAGTTTATCTGGGTGGAGAAGGAAATGGCAACCCACTCCAGTATCCTTGCCTAGAGAATCCCGTGGACAGAGGAACCTGGTGGGCTGCTGTCTATGGGGTTGCACAGAGTTGGACACGACTGAAGCGCCTTAGCATGCATGCATGCATTGGAGAAGGAAATGGCAACCCATTCCAGTATTCTTGCCTGGAGAATCCCAGGGACAGAGGAGCCTGGTGGGCTGCTGTCTATGGGGTCTCACAGAGTCGGACATGACTGGAGCGACTTAGCAACAGCAGCAGCAGTTTATCTGGGAGGTGATCCCAGGAAACTCCAAAAGGCAGAGGGAATGTGAGAAGGAAAGGAAGAAGACCAATCTAAAGCTCTGGGGACGACTGGGACCGAGTTCTGCTGTGGCCTCTGAAGACCATGAAGAACACACCTCAGATGGTCCCACTGCGGGGAGCTTGAGCAGGTTGTTCACGTTTCATCTCCCATTTGTCTTGAGGGAGTGATTGGCTGACGACCTCCGTCTCAGGCTGGCCTGCGCAGTGGTGAGCTCACTCCTGCAGTCAGGAACTGGAGGGCAGAGGGCTAGAGGGGCTTCCAGTAAGAAACTACAGGACATGCATGGCAAGAGTAAATGAGTGGTTTATTTGCTTTGGCAATAAAATCAATGAAGACTTAAAAAAAAAACCAGGAAAGTCCATTATTTATTTATCTTTAACATTAGAACGGAGAAGGCACTGGCACCCCACTCCAGTACTCTTGCCTGGAAAATCCCGTGGACGGAGGAGCCTGGTAGGCTGCAGTCCATGGGGTCGCTAAGAGTTGGACCCGACTGAGCGATTTCACTTTCACTTTTCACTTTCATGCATTGGAGAAGGAAATGGCAACTCACTCCAGTGTTTTTGCCAGGAGAATCCCAGGGACAGTGGAGCCTGGTGGGCTGCCGTCTATGGGGTCGCACAGAGTCGGACACGAGTGATGCGAGTTAGCAGCAGCAGCAGCAACATTAGAACAAAATGAATGCTTGGTATAGACTCTGGAATTTGGCCTAGAAAGAACAGTTGTCTCTGCCAGGTAGGTTGTGAGATGTGATAGGATTCATCTGTTTTTAGTGCTCCTGCCTGCCAATGTAAGAGACATAAGAGGCGCAGGTTCAACCCCGGATCAGGAAAATAACCTGGAGGAGGAAATGGCAACCCACTCCAGTATTCTTGCCTGGATAATCCTATGGACAGAGGAGTCTGGCAGGCTACAGTCCATGGAGTCGCAAAGAGTCAGACACGCACACGTGGCCTCCTGTAGCAGGCCTGCAGTGCCAGCCTCACTGTCATTCCCAAGTTCCCAGAAATTATGCTTTGTTGGTACTAAAGGGCTTTGGGGTTCCTTTAAATCAGTATAATATTGATTAAAATATGAAGTGCATGCATACATGCATGTGTTTGTGCTCAGTCCTGTCCAACTCTTTGTTACCCCGTGGACTGCAGCCCACCAGGCTCCTCTGTCCATGGAATTTTCCAAGCAAGAATACTGGAGTGGGTTGCCATTTCCTCCTCCAGGGGATCTTCCCAACCCAGGGATTGAACCTGTGTCTCTTGCTTCAGCTGCATTGGCAGGCAGATTTTTTACCACTGAGACACCTGGGAAGCCCAGATAAGAAGTGAGAATCCTCCTTTCTTTCTTAAACTGGGTGAGCATGAATAACAAAATTTATTTTCCTTTTATCAAAACTAAAACAGAACTCGGTGTCCTGGGTCATCTAGAGACAAGTGTCTGCTTATTCTTTTCTATTGCTTAATGATGTAGTAATTATTCAGTTACCTTCCCCATCCCCAGCATTAGGACCAAAATAGATAATTCAGAGAAAGTTTTCAGCAAGAGGCCTGGCTAGTAACTGGAAATATCAAAATCAATTAATGATATTGGTAATTTGTGTATTTATTTCATGCAACCAGGAATTTCTGGTTAAATAAACTTTGTCCCCAAGTGTGTTTCACATGTAAGTGGGCCAGGATTGCTACTATGGATCTTTTGTCCTCTGACTTAAGTGTCTCCAGGTTGAATTGTTGGAAAGTTTTCATTTAAAAATCCTGAGAGGTGGGGGCTGGCCTTGGTGGAGGAGAGGAGAAATAGGAGCCAGATTCTGAGCCAGGGGCTGGGCGTGTTGGCGGGATCTCTCTCCTTGCACCAGTTTCCCTGAGTCCCCCTCACACACTGTCTGCCGGTCGTCCCCAGGGACTCTGAGAGACCGGTGGGACAAGTATAAATGACTAATGATATAAAAAAATTTGCTTGGGCTTATTATTAGCCAAAAAAAAAAAAAAAGGGAATTAAAACAGCAGTTAGATAATTGGTCATGGGTTTTAAATAGGAGGGATATAGTTAGAAAATTTTCTAAATGAATGCTTCTTGACTAGAGTCCTTATTTTAATGCAGCATGTAATTCTCTGGATAAGGCTCAGAATGAGGGTTCAGACTTTTAAAAAATACTCAATTAACAGCATTATATCAACCAAAGATATGCATTTTGGTGATTAAAAAAGGAACATTGTATATAATACTGAAAAGATGTACTGTAGCCTGGGGCTTGATATGTGATACACCATCCACAGATAATAGCTATGATTATAATTATTGCCACCATCTTTCCAATCCAGTGCCTCACCCCGCACTGCTGAGAATTCTCTTGCATGGGAGGGTAATGAGTAATGGAGACTCTGTAGGGATTTGGTGGGGAGAGGAGACTGCAGTCAAGCTCACAACACACACTCCCTTCAGGTGATTCCTTTTGCCCCTTGGACACATCTGCTCCCCCAATCCCCTTTCTCTGTCTGTCTCTCCTCTTCTTTTATACAAGCTTAGCTTACTTAGCTGTCTCTTGCCTTATGAGACATGTAATGTGTCATGTAATATGAAGGCCACAAAAATTGACCTGAAATCATTATAGTCTAGTAGAGAAGATAGCTAGTAGCTCAGCTGGTAAAGAATCTACCTGCAATGCAGGAGACCCCGGTTCGATTCCTGGGTCAAGAATTTCCTCTGGAGAGGGAATAGGCTACCCACTCCAGTATTCTTGGGCTTCCCTGGTGGTTCAGACAGTAAAGAATCTGCCTCCAATGCAGGAGACCTGGGTTCGATCCCTGGGCCAGGAAGATCCCCTGGAGGAGGGCATGGTAACCCACTCCAGTATTCTGGCCTAGAGAATCCCCATGGACAGAGGAGCCTGGCAGGCTACAGTCCGTGGGGTCGCAAAGAGTCAGACATGACTAAGCACAGCACAGCACAGAGGAGATATAAACTGATCTGTTATAAATTATGATTTATAATGGTATAAAGTTTGTTTGGTTAATTGCTTAATTAATTAGAATTTAAGAGGTTAATTACTGTGATATACCAGGGGTATGAACAACAGGGATTCAAAGGAGGGCAGGCATCCTAGATCTTAAAGGATGAATTAGATTTAGGCTGAGAGCAGTGGGAATGGGCAGTCTTGTTGGAAGGATAGCTTGAACAGAAGCACAAACTGCCCATATTTTACAAATGAGGACAGTGAGTCTCAGGGAGGATAAGAAATTTATTTGTGGTCTCATGACCTTTAGGAGTGGAGACAGAATTTGAAGAAGAGCTGCCTGACTCTTGCTTTTGAATGGTCCCCTGAGTGCTTTCATCTTGCCTGCTGCTCTGTTCTTCCCACTCCATCCTCTAGTTCCATCTTAGATCTCAACATCCTCTACACATCATATATTTCCTGCAGGTTTGCACTTGCTTATGCTGCTTTCTTAGACTGAAATGTCTTCCCCTCCTTTTGTTCATTGTTCAAGTTTAATCTCCAATAATCTTGTGAGGTGAGTGTTATTAGTCTCAGTTTATACATGATGAATTGGAGACTCAGACTAAGCATATTGCTCAAGGTAACACAATTAAGCAAGCAGCAGAGCTGAGCTTAGACTCAGGTGTGACTCCAAAGCTTGTGTCCTGGAGCACTATGACGCTGAAAACTGCCTAGTGATTGTGGCTGAGCAGAATACAACATCGTGTTCGTTCTGCATGATGCAGACAGTTCTCTGCACACAGACGGAAAGCTCCCTGTCCAGTCACTGTAGCACTGCAAAGTTAAGGGAATGAACATGAGATGTCTGAGTGGGGCCTACAGGTGTCTCCTCTCTCCTTCCTTCCCTCTCCCATCAACTGAACATGTTTAGAACACGTTCTCAGAACTTCTAGCTTTGTTGCTTTCATAGACTTGACCAAAGAGAAACAAAAAAACTAAGAGATGTCATCTCTTCTATTTACTTGGTGTGGGCAGAGAAGAAAAGTTTCCAGTGTATCTTGTTAGAATCACCTGTAAACAAATACCTTCATTAAGAACAGCTTTGATGACTTATGTGAGTGGGGGATACACAACCACATGGAGAGAGATACTTAAGACTCAGGGTCTCATTTCCCTAATAACCCAAAAACTTGGATAATGGAAATAAAGACTTCCAATGAATCAATGGTAACACTTATGTTAGCTCTGCATAAGCTGATAGGAAGTGCAAAACTGGAGCACATTTTGCAGAATTCTATGGGCAATACCCTCACTGGGCTTAATGTAATTGCATTAAAAATTTTTTATAGCTGAAAGGGCATTAATAAGGCCTTATGAGTAGAAGTAGCAATTTAAATGGTTTGACAGAAGTGTGAGGAGGGTGGCTTCCCTGGGAGCTCAGTGGTAAAGAATCAGCCTGCTAATGCAGGAGACCCAGGTTCGATCCCTGATCAGGAAGATCCCACATACCGAAGAGCAACTAAGTCCAGGCATTGTAACTACTGAGCCTGCGCTCTAGAGCGGGAGAGCCGCAACTACTGAAGCCTGCATGCCCTAGAGTCTGTGCTTGGCAACAAGAGAAGGTACTGCAATGAGAATCCTGTGCATGGCAACCAGAGAGTAGCCCCTGCTCTCCACAACTAGAGAAAAACAGCAATGGAGACTCAGCACAGCCAAAAATAAATAGATAAAGTATTTAAAAATAAAATAACAAGACGTGTGAGAAGGAACTAGAGCAGATTTCAGCAGGTAGTGGTGGAAGAGTTGGGGACTGGTGTTTTCCAAAAACAAAATGGATTAGACTTGTTTATTCTGGCAATGCAAGGGAAGGAGAGAGTATTGTGATGCTTTTCCTGTGAAGAAATGGGTAACAGGTTTTTACCACATCTTCCTATGTCAGTATCTAAGGGGTTTATATAAATACTTAGAAGGATGCTGTGAAGAAACAGAACAACAGAATATGGGAGGAGTCCTTGGAAATTTTTAAAGAATAAAGTAAATGGGAAGTCTTATTTCCTAGATCACATGGTGAGTTTTCTTTTAGCTCTGTGTTTTTATGAAAAGGTGTGGACATTTTTAGTTTAACTTGTATTTGTCCTCTATTCGAAGAAGACAGCTTTAACTGTAATCTTTTGTGTTGGAGAATAATTTTGTATTTTTTCCTCCTTCAAGGTGAAACATGAGTTTTCAAAAAAAAAAAAAAATTATGCCCTGTAGTTGTTGCAGCATTTTGATGTGCTTTTATATTTTAATAATTTGTAAGGTAGTATATTAATTTTGAATATATAAATGTTCCCACACACATGCATCCTGGTGGTAATAGTCTGTTTACCTTCTCATTTGTACCTTTTGGGGGAGAGGTAATACATTCTGATAACTCATTAGGATACATGATTGGAAAATTCGCATTTTAAAGTAGAATAGTTGTTAAGCAACATTAAGATGTAATTAGAACTCTTCACTGCATTTCATTATGAGGTTATTTTATAATTACTCAGCAAGTCCTGGTGTTTACTAACACAGAAGTGACAGCACATAATACTGCTAAATTATGGCCATGGCACTGGAGAAGACAACTGGAAAATGGGGAAGAGATGAAGGCATTATTTAAAAAACCTCCAGGGAAAACATAATCTCAGGACACAATCCTTATTTTCTTTTAAACTACCTTTTCAATGTCCATCTAGTGCAATATATAGCATGTATACCTGCTCAATCATAGGTTAAGTAGCCTACATATAATGTCTCCAGCTGCAGTTTTCATATTTTGTAAGAGTAGGTGTGAAGCAGGACGTGGTAGACACAGTTTTATATTTCTCAGATACCTTATATGTGGGGAGAAAAGAAACCTCCAAATAAATTGCCCAAAACTGAGATTTCTAAGAAGATTTATACTTTTAAAATCATTATATTTTTGTTCTTCTTTAATTATGATATAGATAATAACATTATGGCTAGAGAACATAATGCTGTTAGAAATGACCTTCTCAACATGGCAGGGATGTGTGAGTTGCAATTTTCATATATTAGCACATTAAAATTCTTTTTTTCTTTAAAAATTTTTCCTTTTGCAGACCTCACAATCTTGCTGTTAATTTGATTCCCTTTTCCTTCTTCTCATTATGCCTAAGATGGCATATGTCCATTCAAAGTGAATTGAGGCAACTATTTTGATAATTTGGATGAAAATTAGTTTTAAAAAGGACATTCAAATAATAGGCATGATTTGTGTCTGTATGTGTATTTGTGTGTTGGCTTTGGAGTTGGTCTGGTGAAGGGGATTGAGGTGAGGGGATGAATAAGATCTATGGAATTATCTTGATAAATCACAGACTCTCCTCTTCATATGCCTATTCACACTAGACTAGGAGAGCAGACATTCTTGTTCCTGATTTTGGGCTGAAGGCTGGGGGGCCACTCAGTTTTTCATCCTTAGATACAACATTAGTTGTATGTTCCTGTATTATTTTGTAGGTATCTTGTGTTAAGGGTGCGATAACAGAGTACCACAGACTGGGTGGCTTAAACAACAGAAATTTATTTCTCACTGTTCTAGAAGCTGGAAGTCTCAGAAGGTGTCAGCAGATCTGATTTCTTGTGTGGCCTCTCTCCTTGTCTTGTACCTGACTGCCTTTTCTCTGTGTCCTCACATGGTCTTTCCTCTGTGTTTCTTTGTGTGTCCAAATTTCTTTTTATAAAGACACCATCCAGATTGGATTAGGGCCTATCCTATCTTCATTTTAACATAATCATCTCTTTAAACCTATCTCCACAATGCAGAGTACTAACCACGATAAGATCATGGTGTGCCACCTCAAAGGCCTGTCTCCAAATGTAGTTACATTCTGAGGTACTGGAGGCTAGGGCTTCCAGTTATGAATTTGGCAAGGGACACAGTTCAGCCAGTAACGCTACCTTCTATTAGTTTGATAAAGTTCCATTCTGTTTCAGTTGCTGAGAGCTTTTGTCATGAATGAATATTGAATTTGTTGAAGTGATTTTTTTGGAATTACTATATATATATATATATATGTATATGGGCTTCCTGGGTGGCTCAGTGGGTGAAGAATTTGCCTGCAATTCAGAAGATGCTGAGATGCAAGTTTGATCCCTAGATCAGGAAGATCCCCTGGAGGAGGGCATGGCAATCCACTCCAGTATTCTTGCCTGGAGAATCCCATGGACAGAGGAGCCTGGCAGGCTACAGTCCATAGAGTCACAAAGGGTTTGAGATGACTGAAGTGACTGAGCACACATACACACACACACACACCACACACACATGTATATATATATATTGCTGGATTCCATTTGCTAGTATTTCACTTTGTATTTTTGCAAACATTTTCATTAGGTAGATGGTTTTCTTTGCTTTCACTTTAACCTAGCTATGTCATTATATTTGAGGTGAATTTCTTATAGACAGCATATAATCTCATATTTTCTTCTTTCTAAATCCATCATCCATCTGGTAACCTCTGTGTTTTAATTGGTATATTTTGAATATTTGATGTAATTATTGATATATTTGAACTTGGACCTATCATTTTATTATTTGTGTTCTGTTTTTTTCCTTTCTGTTTTCCTCCCCTTCCTTTTTGGTTTTTGCTTATTTGAACATAGTTTAGTATTCAATTCAATGATGCCTTTCATGAGCAGTGTTATGACTCCTCAATAGATTGAAGACAAAATTGGGAAGTCAGTCAAATATGTTGTGAGGATCCCAGCCTTTCCTTTCCACAGCTTTTGCCAACTCCAATAGCCCCAGAACACTCACTTTTTCATGCAGAAGGATTCCTGTATCCTTTTATACCTGGAGTGGATAAATTGGGTCTAATCATATGTATCAACTATTTTTAGGATGCCGTGTTGAGAAGATTGTCATGTTCAGAAGGAAATTGTACTGGATTCTATTAGTGATGTCTGTTATGGACTGGGAAAAGGCAGTGCCAGCTGATGTTCTATTGTATTATTTTCTAACTATTTTCCTCTTCTCACATAAAAATATTATCTGCAAAAAGATCTGCTATAGTCAGGGTGGTTTTGTTTTGTTTTTTTTTAATAAATTTAAGGTAATTTGCTTCCCTTATCTCATATCCATTCTACCATCATTCTACGCTGCAAGTGTGGACTAAAGGCCTGATCATCTTTTAAAGGAATTGCTGGGGTCAGTGAGCAGTTGTAAGCAACTTCTGGGGAGAGGAAAGTAGTGAGTGCTGGTGGGTAGAATCCAGTTGTGGTTCCTTGTATATCCAGTAAGGCCAGTCAGGTCTGTGTGTGTAATAATATAAGAGCCTTCTTCGATTAGAAGAGGAGGTTAACAGGCTCAACTGGCAGACCATTCAAATGATATGGTTCCATTCAGCAGGTGGAATTTCTTAGCAGGGTCAGTGGCTGTTATTAATTACAGCATTGAAAAAGACTCACAGCTTGCAAGAGCAGTCCCAGGAGTCTTGACCTCCATACAGAATGGGAAGAGCATCTGACTGAGAAGACACTAAGCTAGACACATATGAGCCAGCTTTGTTGTTGTTCAGTTGCTCATTCGTGTCCAACTTTTTGTGATCCCATGGACTGAAACACACCAGGCTTCCCTGTCCTTCACTCTCTCCTGAAGTTTATTCAAACTCATGTTTATTGAGTTGATGATACCATCCAACCATCTCATCCTTTGTCACCCCCTTCTCCTCCTACCCTCAATCTTTCCCAGCATCAGGGTCTTTTCCAATGAGTTGAGTTGAGTCTTTGCATCTTGCAATACCTACCATCTTACTTGGGTTTCTAAGAGGGCATCAGAGAACAGACACACTAAAACCATAATCACAGAAAACTAGCCAATCTGATCACAGGACCACAGCCTTGTCTAACTCAATGAAACTAAGCCATGCCATGTGGGGCCACCCAAGATGATCGGGTCATGGTGGAGAGGTCTGACAGAATGTGGCCCACTGGAGAAGGGAATGGCAACCCACTTCAGTATTCTTGCCTTGAGAACCCCATGAACAGTATGAAAAGGCAAAAAGATAGGATACTGAAAGAGGCACTCCCCAGGTTGGTAGGTGCTGACTATGCTACTGGAGATCAGTGGAGAAATAACTCCAGAAAGAATGAATGGATGGAGCCAAAGCAAAAACAATACCCAGTTGTGGATGTGACTGGTGATGGAAATAAAGTCCGATGCTGTAAAGAGCAGTATTGTATAGGAACCTGGAATGTTAGGTCCATGAATCAAGGCAAATTGGAAGTGGTCAAACAGGAGATAGCAAGAATGAATGTCAACATTCTAGGAATCAGCAAACTAAAAGGGACTGGAATGGGTGAATTTAACTCAGATGACCATCGTATCTACTACTGTGGGCAGGAATCCCTTAGAAGAAATGGAGTAGCCATCATGGTGAACAAAAGAGTCTGAAATGCAGTACTTGGATGCAATCTCAAAAATGACAGAATGATC